TGTCACGCTAATGAAGTTATGCTAATCTAAGTGATGAATTCATGTTTATTTGGTTTTTCTAATCCGATTACTTCTCATAGATAACATCAACTGAAAGTTCTTCTAATGTTACGAACAGACAGAAGAGACATGATTGGTCAGTTTCAGGTTTTATTGTTGTTTCAACAGAAATATGACCGCCTCCTGTTTCCTGTGCCTCCGTCACTCTAGACACCGTTCACGCCCGTCGCTCCGCAGACACACTTGTAGCAGTCATCATCATCACGTCGACAAGGAAACGCCTGGATGACCTGAGCGATACGAAGCGCCACAGCTGAGGAGCTGGCGGCGATGACTCTCCTGGACATCATGTCAAACACTGAGCCTGAGGACACAAGTGCATCAATTAGATGGGGTCATGCAACCCCGAGGTATGACATCACATTTCAGATACACACCATCCGTATCCGTGACAACACCACCGGCCTCCTGGACGATGATGGCGGAAGCAGCAATGTCCCAGCAATGCATCCCAATGTGATAGTAGGCATCAGCTCCACCTGTTGCCACCTGACACATGTCAACAGCTGCTGTCCCCAACGCACGGACACTTAAACACGCCAAAAACATACAAACAAAATGTTAAAGAAAAAACAGAACCTGTTATGGTTTAATCTTAAAGACATTGAAACAACAAATGGCACATGAAACAGCAGTAACACAAAGAAGCTGCAGGTCAGAGCAACGTGATGGATTACTGGTGGTATCAAGGAATGTGGGCGGGGTCGGTTCTCACCCATGGACAGGAAGTTTCAACAGTCTGAAGATGTTGGACGTCATGGTGGACAGAGCGAGGTCATCACGCTCCGCCCCAATCTCCGTCACCACCAGGCACCTGCTGACGTCTGATTGTACAGGACAGAGGAGTTAGAATAAAATAAAAATGGTGACAACACCTCCACTTTATCACTGTGATGTCATCAGTGTGATGTCACCTTCCTGTCCGGAGGCGTGCAGCGGTTCTCCGTTCACAAATGCCCCTCTTCCTCTCTGAGCATAGAAAAGTTTGTCCTCCACACAGCTGTACACAATCCCAAACTCCGTCTGACCACGACGACAACGACAACAACAACAGGGTGTTAGTCTACTTCCTGTCTAAGCCCTCTGACCTCTGACCTGCAAGTGACTCTACCTGCTTGTTGACAGTGAAGGCGATGGAGACGGCCACAAATGGAAACCTGTTGAGAAAAACAATAATGACTATCAAAGTATCCAGGCTTTAATAAACCAAGCTTAAATAAACCAGGCTTTAATAAACCAGGCGTTAATAAACCAAGCTTTAATAAACCAGGCTTTAATAAACCAGGCTTTAATAAACCAGGCTTTAATAAACCAGGCTTTAGTAAACCAGGCTTTAATAAACCAGGCTTTAGTAAACCAGGCTTAAATAAACCAGGCTTTAATAAACCAGGCTTTAATAAACCAAGCTTTTGATTTCAAACTGTTTCACATGTGCTGTTAATCTTTCTCCACATTGTTTTCATTGAATAGATGAATTGTCAGATCACTAGAGTCAGACTGGAGATGAAGCTGTATCATATCAGATATGTTTGAAATCACT